TTTGCGCGTTGTTTGTGTTGGTCTTTCGTCATTAAAAAGGCTTTCTGCGTATTCTTTCCACGCCATTGCTATCTCTTCTTCTGACGACTCTATGTATTCGTTTCTGTCGTTGCGTATTCTTGTTCTGTGGTGGCTTTTGTGTATATTCGATATTTATTTGATCTTCTTATGTAGTCCAAAACTATCTCCTTTTTCCTGCAATTGTTCTATTTCGTTGCACCTTTTCACCATCCAACGTTCTTTTGCTTTCTTAATTTTCTGACGGATTTCTTTGTGTATCTGTTTGTATTTGTCTTGATTACGTTGTTGTTTATGTTGCCTTCGCTTTTCCATTAGATCCATAATTTCGTCCGTCATCCATTCGTTATGATTTATCTTTCTGATCTGTGTTTTAACTTCCCTGTTTACTGCCAGAATCGTTCATTTAATATCATTGACCATCTCTTTGATATCATAATTTTGTTCTATTACTCGCATTCTTTCATTAATTTGATTCGCATAACTCTTCTTCAGATTTTCGTCTCTCATCAGTTCTCTTGTATTTATAGGTGTGCTCGTATTTGTATTTGTTCTCTTAATTTTTGCTAGTTTTAACCTCACATCTGCTATTAGCGGATTATGATCGGATGCAATATCAGCACCTGGATATGCTGCGATTCTTTTGATAGCGTTACGAAATCTTCTGTTTATTAAAACGTAGTCAATTTGGTTTCTAATTATTCGATTTGGACGGTCTCCTGGCGATCTCCAAGTATATAACTTACGAGTTGGGAGCTGAAACCATGTGTTAATGACGACAAAACCGTTCTCCTGGCAGAATTCACACAGCAGATCGCCTCTTTCATTTCTAACTTCAAGGCCGTACTCTCCAATTATGTCTTCATATCTTCCTTTACCCACCTTGGCGTTAAAGTCGCCCATTATTATGTTTATGTCCTCTTTCTTTGTTAGTCTTATTGCTTTTTCCAGATCTTTATAGAACTTAGTTATTTCTTCCTCTGACTTATCTGCTGTTGGTGCATATGCTTGTGTCACATTTATGTTTACTGGTTTGCCTGTCATTTTGATCAACATGACTCGTTCGGAAATTGGAACAAAATATGTCACCGATTTACTGGTCTTCCTGTCAAGAGCAATAGCCACCCCATGTCGGTGATGTCTATCTGTTGGGTCACTACACGAGTAATACATAGTAATCTTATCTTTCGTAAACTGTCCAGATCCAGACCATCGGACTTCACTGACTCCCAATATATTTATTTTCAGCCGATTCATTTCCTTTATAAGGTTGTGTAGTTTTCCTGGTTCGTAAAGACTATTAACATTCCATGTTGAAATTCGTTGGATATCATCTATTTGGCACCGGGAGATTCTTCGCCTATACTACTGCCAAAGATACTACTGCCAAAAAAGACAAATACAAAGGAATGCAACGAATATCGTACGATTTCTTTGATGAGTCATACTCTAAAACTCTTTTTAAAAGTAATCCATAATAGGATCTATAGGAAATTAGACGTAGACATCAGTAACACTCAGATGGGATTCAGAAAAGGGCTGGGTACAAGAGAGGCTCTGTTTGCAATGAACGTTCTCTCACAGAGATGCTTAGACATAAACCAAGAAATTTACACCTGCTTTATAAAAGGCCTTTGACAAAGTACATCATGAACCACTAAGACAAGTTCTAATAAAGAAAAATATAGACAGCTGAGATATTCGAATTATATGCAATCTATATTTGAATCAAACAGCAAATGTCAAGGTTGAGGGCAGACTAACAGAAGAAATTCAAATCCGTCGAGGAGTCCGGCAGGGATGTATCTTATCGCCACTTTTATTTAATCTGTATAGTGAAGCTATCTGTGAACAAGCACTCGAGGAAGAAGATCTTGGTCTGATAATAAATGGTGAGACGATCAACAATATAAGGTATGCTGACGATACAGTTCTTCTAACGGGAACGCTAGTAGAACTTCAACATCTCGTCCAAAGTCTCAATATATACTGTAACAAATACGGCTTGAAAATTAATTTGAAAAAAACTAAATTTATGGTAATCACGAAATCAAAGAACATCAGAGCTAATCTTGTAATAGACAATACAACGATTGAGCGTGTGCCCTCTTATAAATATCTAGGTGATTGGATCACAGACGATACTGATCAAACAAAAGAGATTAGATGTAGAATAGAAATCGCTAGATCAGTCTTTAATAGAATGTGCAAACTCTTTTGCAATTGTGATATCAATATAAAGTTACGAATACGAATGCTGCGGTGTTATGTCTTTTCTACCCTGTTATATGGAGTTGAGGCTTGGACACTAAAACAGTTGTCCATAAAAAACATCGAAGCTTTCAAGATGTGGTGCTATAGGCGCATTCTCAGAATATTATGGATGGACCGCGTCACTAACACGCACGTACTCCAAACTTTAGACAAAAGATGCGAGATTCTAAATGAGATAAAAACTAGAAGAATGGAATACTTGGGGCACATTGTGAGAGGTGAAAGGTACGAACTTTTAAGAAACATCATGCAGGGTAAAATTAAGGGCAAAGGAAGTGTGGGAAGAAGAAAAATATCATGGCTTGGTAATCTACGTGAATGGTTCGGGTGTAGTTCGATTGAACTTTTTAGGCGCGCTGCTAACAAAGTCGCAGTGGCCATGATGATTTCCAATCTCCGCTAGGAGTAGCACGAGAAGAAGAAGAAGACTTTCAGTCTCAAATTTGCTGTACAGTATATATTCCTTACGTAATATTTTTTAAACTTTCAGTTCACTCAAGAGTGTCTCCTTTAACATTTAAAAAATGTCATATACCATTTTTTACACTCGAGCCCTTCAATTACTTATCATTTTCCAAACAAACATCAAATCTAACGTTTAAGGACTCCTCCTGTAAAATTATGAAAATATGACTGAGGATGGTATACTTCCCACGTACAGTTTGATTGCACACAATTTTTAAATAAAAAATGATACTATATAATTATCTAATGATGTTACTATCTTCAAATTCAGGAATTCAGCGAAGTTGATAATAACAAAAGTTTACATGTTATAATTTTATAACACTAATAAAAAAATTCCGCATAAAAGATAACAAAACCCTAGAAATCTAGTGCTAGTGGGTGTTAAATAGATTAGAATGGTAAATTGTGAAACTCTCTTCCTGTGTAATCAAAATTATAAATAGCCAAATTATATGATTTTTGCTTAGTAAGTCACAATGATGTCGTATGTAGTGCTTCTCTTATGTGTTTACTTAGGTGAATACGTTTTGTCAGAAAAAGTAAGTGAGTTTATTGTATCCTTTAACCAGTATTCGTACGAGAATATCGATTAAGTTTAACTTATTTTGTATTTAATTTTTATTTCAAATTATTTATTTTAGATTTTCATAATATTAATATACGACTACATTATTATTCCTTTGTATCCCACTTATCATTGGCATATATTAAAATGATACCGACAATCTGTTGATTCTGATTCATTCTATGTTTTAAAGATGTCACTTTAAAATATCTCCTAAAATGTCATATCTCGTAGGATAAACCTGCTTCTTAGCTAAGTGATGCTTCTTAGGCTAATGAAATTCAGTGTCTCCGCTCTTTTTTCTACAAGGCTGAAAAATCCAGCTTTTTAGCCAACTTGTCAACGTTTTTGATCCATAAAGCTTAGACCTTCAGTTTCTTAGACTAGCGTCACATAATTGACCCTTCTTTTTCTTTAAAACTGAATCCGGATCAGTTTTATAGAAGTTTTGGAAAACAATTTGCTAAAAAACCGAAATGTATTAGTCTGTCAGCTCTGACGCCAAGCCAGTATTTTTTTCTCTATTTAAATTATATATATATATATATATATATATATATATATATATATATATCTATATATATATATATATATATATATATATATATATATATATATATATATATATATATATATATATATATATATATAAGCGAGGTTCCTACAGCCTTTGCCGTCTCTCGCATTTCGACCGCTATCGTTTTCTGTCCATCTGTACATTTTCTTCCCAATCAACTGAAGGCCTTCCTCTTCTTCTTTGTTGTGGTAAGTAATATAAAGCTTTTTTGGCCATCTATCTTCATTCATTCGCTTTACGTGACCATACCACACTAGTTGTCTCGTTTCAATTCTGTCTACACTGGAATATACAGTATTAAAATTTGTCCTCCTTCTAATATCTTCATTCCTGATATGATCTTTTTTGAAAACACCACACGCTCTCCTTAGAAAATTCATTTCTACTACTTCTATTCTTTTTCTATCTTTTTTCGTGATCTGCCAAACTTCTGCCCCATAAGTCATAATAGGCTCTACCAAGGTTCGATAGATTGTCAATTTCGTTTCATGTTTAACATCTTTAGACTATAGTACAGAGTTTAGACTGTTGACCGCTTTTTTTCCATGCTGTGTTCTGTTTTCGATGTGTCTTTTGGTAGTGCTTTCTTTAGGTATTAGAGATCCGAGACATTTACATTCCTTGCATGGTTTTGTGTTTCTAATTTCTAACTCTAAATCTTCTTCATCATCTCCTAATTTAGGAAAATCTGTCTTTGTCATATTCATATTGAGGCCCCATTTTTTTATATTCTTTCTTTAGTTTTCCAAACATGTAGCCCATGTCTTCCTCATTATTCGCTACAACTACCTGATCATCTGCGAAAAATAAAGTTGTTAGACATTTACCATCACATATGTATATTCCCATTCCGGATACTTGTTTCCTCCACTGCTCTAGCGATGATTAAATACATATTTTAAATAAGGATTTGAATTTTATTATACTAATAAATTAGTCTATCAAATTAAAGATTTAATTGTAGGATTATAGTATGAAGCTTAGAGGAATATTTCTGCTTGCCGCGAAGGCTATTCCAATAAGCGGGTTCGACTGTACTATGTGCCAAACATAATACGTATTATATTGTAGTTTCTCTAGAAATTCATTATTTTCTAGTTGTCTGCTGCTGCTCCTGTTGATGTAAAGTTCACTAAACTATTGGACGTTAAGTTGGAAAGTAGAACCAGTTCTTTGAGAAATGATCTAGGAAGATTTCTTTATCCTCAAACTGAAGATATCGATTTAGGTATGGTTTTTGTTTAATTTACATATATATATATATATATATATATATATATATATATATATATATATATATATATAATATACAGTATACAGTGGCTCACAGCTTTAATGATGCAGCTGCTACTCACTAAATCTAGCTTGTGTCAGAGGCTCAATATTTAATAGAAAAAAATGACATTCTTTCATATGTGTAAGGCTTGTCAGGTATTATCCATCTGCTTGAGAATTAGCGTGCCTTATCAAGTTCTCTTGACGTTGGCGATTAACACGGCCAGACTATCTCTGTCTTGAGCTATTCTATTGTTCGATTTTCCGTATCCCAGTCCGTTCTCTAAAATTCTGAACCACTAGACTTGTGTTCTACCAATTTTTCTGAATTAACCGATTTTATCCATTAAAATTCATATATTATATCTCTATATCTTATATTAGACCTGTATAACCAGAGCTTTCATATCAAATCAACATCAAACTTATCCGTAGCAACAGTTCTGTGAAAGGTACCTTACTGTTCTAATGTTTCGTCTATAGGGTCATATTAGATATACATCCTCTTCGTTGTCGATACATTTTTATTTGTAGACTTAAGAAAGACACTTATTTGGGAGCACCGAGAAAGTCCATTTTTTCCATGCCCATCTTAGTTATTTATTTTAAGGTCTGCAAGAGAAATTATTATAAGACAACAGCCACGCATATCTATGTTTCGTGGACCATAAGAAGGCATTTGACCGGGTTAAATTATTAGGCGTGATCCACTTATTTTACGCAAGAGAAATACCTATAGGAATAACCAAAACAATCGAAAATATGTCACAAAATAACATAATAAAAGTAAAAGTAGAAGAACAACTAACTGACCCTATTGAAGCTGGCACTAGAATGTCACAAGGAGATTTCCTAAGTCTTCTACTGTTTAATCTGATTACAGACGAAATAATAAAAAAAGTAAAAACTAAAAAAGGATACAGAATGGGAGAAAAACAACTTAAAATAAAATGCTATGCAGACGACACAATACTACTCTCTTAAAGGGAATATGATTTACAACTTATGCTGCTCCAATTCAATATTAGGTACTGCTAAAAAATATAACATGTTCATTTTCCCAAAAAACACAGAATATAGGTATGGTTATACTTATATAATTATATAGGCGGCAGAAACACAACCTGACACAAAAAGGACAAAAATAATATTGGTCTGAAGCTATTTTCTTGTGGCATTGTAAATTAATTAATATTTCACTGGAAGGTAAGCCACAATTAAAGATAAAAATACGTTTATTGACGTTTCAATTTCCACTTCGGAAATCGTTCTCAAAATACAAACAGTAAATTGAACAAATTTTGTTTTTTGTTATATAGTGAAAAATTCTTTTAATAATTTAATTTTATCTGACTTATTTATATTGACAATTCAGACATACATTATGCATTTTAATGTAGATGACTTTAAAATGATATTGCCAATATTGTTGAGTTGCGCTCCTGGGACGACTTTACTTATAAGATAGATCATTCGATTACATGAAATCAACTTTAACTTGAGAATATCCGTCAGAAAAAATCATAGCATGTAATTCGTCTTTAAAAAGACAAACACATGACATAATGACAGTAAAATTCTCCTGTTAGTGATACCAGAGTAAATTATGAGGGAAAAACCAGGAAAAAAAACCTCATAATACTATTCCGACATTGTAAGTATTTGTTCGTGAATTTAGTTTACCTTCAACACACATCAAAATTCTGATTTTATATGTTACGTTATTTAAAAAACATAAATGATGTATCCTCTATATGTTACTGACTTACTAATACTGGTATTTTTTTATTAATAACTTCCTCTTTCAATATTGGTAACCAGATCCTACTACATTCTGCCGAGGAATTTGCGACACAATTGGCCTCATTTAGCATAATTAGAGCTGCTTCTTTGATTTTGCTTTTTTTACCATCCGTTTCTTCTAGGACTACATTTGAATTATTCCATTGAACCCTATGTTCATTATCCCATGCGTGTTTACATATTTGAGATCTATCAAATTCTCTATTTTTAATATAAGATTGATGTTCACTTATTCTAACATTTAATGGCCTTGATGATTCACCTAAATAAAACTGATCGCATTCACAAGGTATTTTATAAATGCAGTTCTTTGTCCTTTCTTGTTCATTGTTAGGTTTGGTTTTGAACAAAATAGATCTCAACGTGTTTGTTGTTTTGAATGTTGTTGAAATGTTCAATTTATTTCCCATCCTTTTAAATTTTTCTTATAATCCTTTTATGTACGGCATTGTTATTTTCCTGATATTATTCCTTGTGTATGCTGTAGGATCTCGTTCTAAGTTGTTCTGTTCTATTCAATCGTTTATTGAAACTTCCTTATTTATAAACGATAAAGGATAATAATTTTTTAATAAAACAGATGTTAACAAATGTTTCTCCTCCAAGAACGAATTTTCGTTAGAACAAGTAATTTTGGCTCTATCGTATAAGGATTTAATTATTCCCTTTTTTACATTAAAAAATTTTTTTTATGGAAAAGGAATATAATGACACGCTACCTTTCCTGGATGTTTTAATCTCTAAGAACGATACTGGATATGAGACTCAGGTGTATAGAAAACCAACGCACACCAATAAATATTTAAATTTCAAATCAAATCTAATATTAGTGTAATGAACAAGTTCTAACGAAAATTCGTTCTTGGAGGAAAAACATTGGTTAACATCTGTTTTATTAAAAAATGATTATCCTTTATCGTTTATAAATAAGGAATTTTCAACAATCGATCGAATAGAACAGAACAACTTAGAACGAGATCCTACAGCATACACAAGGAATAATATGAGGAAAATAACAATACCGTACATAAAAGGATTATCAGAAAAACTTGTTTGTGTTTTTTAAATAACGTAACATATAAAATCAGAATTTTGATGTTCGTTGAAGGTAAACTAAATTCACGAACAAATACTTACAATGTCGGGATAGTATTATGAGGTTTTTTTCCTGGTTTTTCTCTCATAATTTAATATGGAATCACTAACAGGAGAATTTTACTGTCACCATGTCATGTGTTTGTCTTTTTAAAGACGAATTACATGCTATGATTTTTTCTGACGGATATTCTCAAGTTAAAGTTGATTTCATGTAATCGAATGAACTATCTTATAACTAAAGTCGTCCCAGGAGCGCAACTTAACAATATTGGCAATATCATTTTAAAGTCGTCTACTTTAAAATGCATAATGTATGTCTGTATTGTCAATATAAATGAGTCAGATAAAATTAAATTATTAGAAGATTTTTTCTTTATGTAACAAAAAACAAAATTTGTTTAATTTACTGTATGTATTTTGAGAACGATTTTCGAAGTGGAAATTGAAACGTCAATAAACGTATTTTTATCTTTAATTGTGGCTTATTCCCAGTTAAATAGTAATTAATTGACAAAAATAATGTTAAAACGGCAGAGATAAAAAATTGATGATAAGACACTAAGAGACAGAGGTAGAAGTACAGATATACATGTAGATGCAAGGTAAAGAACATCAAAAACTGGGTAAGCAATAGACGAGTAGAATGGAACGATTATATAAGCAGAATGACAACAAATAGAGTAGTAAAGACGGCAAAAGACGGTTCCCAAATAGAAAGAGTAGTATTGCGTCGTCTGCATAGCAAATAATTATAAGTTGTTTTTCTGCCATTTAGTATCCTTTTTTATATCTTGCTTTTTTATTATTTCATTCAAGATCAGATTAAACAATAGATAACTTAGAGAATCTTCTCTCTTATCCCATTGCCACCTTTAATAGGGTCGGTTAGTTCTTGTTTTACTTTTATTGTGTTGTTTCGGTAAATATTTTCGGTCGTTTTGACTATACAGTACTATATAATGTATCTTTAAGTCATTTATTTAACAAAACCTAAGTTATTTTTCACAAACATTATAAAAACATTATCTTAGGAACCAGAGAGGATTATTTGCAAGTTCCCTTAAAGTTGTCATTTGGGATAGATAGGCAAAATGGGATTCAAGAATATGAAAAAACCATTTCAAGTATGTTTGATCAATGTAAATATTTGGTAGGCAGAAGTCAAATACCGTTTTGTCGTTTGAACCCAGTTGCGAAAAATTCAGAAAATAATTATCCCAGAAGTTGCAGAGAAATACTGGAAGCTGGTGAGGCAGTATTTTTTTATTTAAAATTCCTTATTTATCCTATAAAACATCTTAGTTTAGCCAGTTTCTGTATATATATATATATATATATATATATACATATATATATATATATATATATTATATATATATATATATATATATATATATATATATATATATATATTGTAAAAACTACGACCGTCAATTTATATTAATAAAGTATTCAACTAGTGAATTCAGAGGTTTATTCGGTCAGTCAGGTTGGCAAAATAAAAAACAGAAGTCAACTACTTCATAAGTTTATCGAAGACGTTTCGCTTTATATTTCTAAAGCTTCATCAGTTCTCTAAAATACAAAGATGACATAGAGTTTATAAGAAATACAGATCTAATAATTAATTACTTACAACTCAATATGTAGTATTAAAGATGTTATCGTATATGTACTTAAGTTTACTCATAAATTTAGAACTAACTTAAAAAAAAATTAAACAGAAATATGCAAAAAATAACATTCGCAGAAACGAAGATTTACAAAAACTTCAAACGTACATTTGGCTTCATTTAGAGATGGTTCTCCAATGAAGACAAACAAAACACTGATTTATTGCAATCTACGCAAAACGACGTGGCGCGATACCGAAAATGTTTTTCAAGGGCCATATGTTTTCAACAAATTCCAAGGTTTGAGACAATTATGAACTTTTACGGGGGTCATTGAAAGAATAGTTGGACGGGTGGATTTGTAACGGAAAAATTTGATATGATTTTTTTTTTTTTGTAATTTATGTTTTAATGAAACTTAGAGCTTTGGGATGATTATGTTATTGTTTTGAATGGAAAATCCGGCTATTTTAAATTATGAATATTGGTATTATTTATTTCGTAAGATGAGAGAGTGGTAAACCTGGCTCAAATTGTCAATGTCGGTTCTTTTGTTTATTGCAGATGGGTTTTTTAGGATCTCACACATTTCAATAAAGGAGCGTTTTTGATGGTTATTTTGTTTGGCCAGTAATTTTAGTATTTGAGAAGTCAATGTGATGTTTGGTGGAAATGGCGTGTTGTGCAAGGGCACAAGAGGTTTGGAAAGTCTAATGTCGCTTTTATGTGAAGTTATACGCCCTAGAAGTGAACGACTGGTTTGGCCAATGTAGCAGGAATTGCATTCAGAACAGGGATTTGATAGACAACATTAGTGTGCTCTAACGAGCTTAGTGGAGTTTTGGACTTGGGAATGGACTTCTTCTATATATATATATATATATATATATATATATATATAATATATATATATATATATATATATATAAGAATTACTGGATATTAGTGACTGTCGATATAAATAAAACAACAAAGTTTATTAGGGCTGCAGTCAGAATTTTGGCCGGGATGTTACAGAAACACCCTTTGAGTTTTGGTCTAGCTTTCGGAATTGTTTAATTATTTTTCAAGACAATGTAATTAGAAAAATGTGTAAATATTTTCAATATATCACAAAATGTCAGTGCAACTTACTAGTAGTTGAGATTATTTATATAAAGCTGTGACACTCAACATTAATAACACACATATACATATACAATAATGGACAAAACACATTTTAAAATTTAGTTAAAGATAGTAAAAATTCGTTTGTGACATCTTTTAATGGTGTGTTTTAACTGATCCATAGAGAATAGAAAGAAAAAAACAAAAATAGTATGATTAAAAATTAATTAAGTGTTCTTTATATTTTATTAATAGAAAGTAATGTATTAAACTTGTCTTGATGGTATGCAACATGTTTTGCATGCCGGTGTATTATGGTGTGTATATGTACAAGTAAGTCTTTATTTCATTTTTGATTTTTTGTCAGTAAATAACAATGAATGTTGCTAAGTTGATCAGACTTTTTATTTATACAAGACGTATTGAATTTTATGAAATACATTTCCAAGAAAACACGTTTAGAATGGTTTTTTTCCTTTGCCAAAATACAGGAATCCTCGAAATTAAATTCATGTTTTAAACTTAATGCATGTTATGCAACACATGCGCGTTGACAGATGCCTATTTATATGGTGTATTAGCCATATAAAATAATATAACTGTTGCAACGTTGTAATTACGTTGTAATTTCTTTTAGCACTTTCTTTCTGGACATAATCAAGAGCCTATTAAATGGCCTATAAAAAAATCTTTAATTCAAAGAAGATATACATTTAACGATATACTCACTAATAAAAGTTAATATTTAGGTAACAATAAATCTGGTATATACCAAATTAAACCCCGTACCAGTTCTAAAGCATACGCTGTTCTATGTGATATGGAAACTAAGGGTGGAGGCTGGACTCATATTCAAAAAAGATTTGATGGATTTCAAGATTTTTATTTACCTTGGAGAGACTACAAATTTGGTTTCGGTGATCTATTAGGTGAATTTTGGCTTGGACTTGAAAATATGTATCACATGACAGGTAATATAACTTTTTAAAGATACATAAATCTATATTAATTACTATTTAAATGGGGAAAAGCCACAATTAAAGGTTAAAGTACGTTTATTCACGTTTCAATTTACACTTTGGAAATCGTTCTCAAAATACAAACATTAATAATTATGTAGACTATTTTCCAACCTTCTGCTTGGATGTGCTGGACGTAACTTCAACCCCTTTGGTATTAAATTATTGTCTCTACATCTTTGTCAAAATTTAATTAAAGTTTGACAATGTGTCAGTTTCTTGTAAAGATTTTTCAATCTCCCAAAAATTTTGAATAACGTTGGACCCATAACGGTTTCTTAACATTGTTCTGAAGCTATTTTCTGGTGGCATTTTAAAGTAAATATATAAACAATAGCAATAAAGGCCTTAGAGGCTCATGGCTTTATATATACAATAGCCCTAAAGGCCTTAGAGGCCCATGGCTTGATATATACAATAACACTAAAGGCCTTAGAGGCCCATGGCTTTATATATACAATAGCACTAAAGGCCTTAGAGTCCCATGGCTATATATATACAAAAGCACTAAAGTTTTTAAAGTCAATACTATTCTCAAAATACAAACATTAGTAATGTTTCTATTTTGAAAACGATTTCCGAAGTAGAAATGGAAACGTCAGTAAACCTAGTTTAACCTTTAATTGTGGCTTATTCCCATTTAAATAGATTTAAATAGTAATTATTACTTTAAAATGTCACAAGAAAATAGCTTTTTCTTATATTGTTTTATAAATATTTTGAAAACATGCTGTATAATGATGTAGAAAGGTAAAAAAGATTAGGTAAATCCAAAATAATTTGGGCAAAACATTTTCTACAGGAAAATACTGAGAAAAAATTCAACGTAGAATCACTCTCTACAAGAACGACTCTCTAGAATAACTTCACAAATAAAAATGTACCAAAGAGAGCTAGCACAAAAAATACAGCTGAAACAAATAGATGACATCGAAAACATAGGCGCGAGCTGAAAGAAAATTAAAATCAACATTGAAGAAGCAGCAATATAAGTTCTAGGAAAACGCAAAGTTATATTGAACAAAAGAAACAACAACAATACACCATGGTTCAGATAATAAATTTAAAAAAATGTATTAGATAAATGTAATAGAAATAAGAGGCCTACATGAAGTACAAAATATCAAATACTCCAGAATCACGAAACACCTATAGAAGAATACGAAATTAAACAAAGCAGTTAATAAGAAGAAATAAAAATGAACACTGGAAAGAGTTTAAAAGAAGGATGGAAAACGACTTCTACGGTTCACAAAAACAAATATGGAGATTTATAAGAAACCAATAAAAAGAAATGGCAGAATTAAAGGAACAAAATAACATACCAGCAAACCAATGTGAAAGATACCTGACGGAACTGTTTAAAGCAAAGAAAAATAATAATCAACACAATAACGTACCTAAATTAAGACACGAAATAGAAATCGGTTTTAACGAAGTAGAGTTAGTCATTATATTACTCAAAAATAGAAAGTTACTAGGATCAGATGGAGTAACCAACGAGATTTTAAAACACGGAGGAGAAAATATGATCCTAAAGATGACAAAACTTATACAAAAACTAATATTGCAGTGCAAGATACCAGACGCATGGAGAAACAGCATAATGATACCAATGTTAACAAAAATACATGTTCAAAATCTATACTTCAGCAATAAGACCTATATTAATATACACGGAGGAGACAAGACCTATCTATCTAATTAGCCTTCTTCGGTCTATCTTTGGACATAGGCCTCCCCAATCCTTTTCCATTCTTCTCTGTCTGTCGCTACAGTCATCCATCTAGAGCCCACGTGCTTCTTGATATCATCTGCCCATCTCATTTGGGGCCTTCCTCTGCTTCGTTTATATTCCCACGGTCTCCAACTTATAAGAATTTTGTTCCATCGGTCTTCTTTTTGTCTTATATTGTGTCCGGCAAATCTCCATTTCAATTTTGCAACTTCTTGTCTAACATCCCTCACTTTTGTTTTCTCTCTTATCCACTCGTTTCTCTTCTTATCCATTAGTCTTATGTGCAACATTTGTCTTTCCATTGCTCTTTGGGTTTTTATGATTTTGTCCATGTTTGCTTTTGTAGATATCCACGTTTGGGAACCATAAGTAAGAACAGGGAGTACGCATTGATTATATACTTTGGTCTTAAGATGCTGTGGATATCTTTTGTTTTTAAGAATGTAGCTTAGTTTGCCAAATGCCGCCCATGCCAGTCTAACTCGTCTCTTGATCTCTGCTGTTTGGTTCTCTTTGTTAAGTTTTATAGTTTGACCAAGAATATATAAAATATATATCCTTAACTTGTTCTATTTCATCTTGTCCGATTCTCATTGTGATGTCTTCATCTGTATTTGTTATAGTTTTGGTCTTGCTGTAATTCATATTAAGGCCTATCTTTCCAGCTTCTACGTCCAGTTCTTTCATCATTTCAAATAATTCTTCTTTTTTATCGGTTATCAATACGATGTCATCAGCGTACCTTAGATGGTTCAAGCGTTGTCCACAAATTTTTATACCTTTTTTTCCCATTCTAATCTTTTAAAAGTATCTTCAAGAGCCTGATTGAAAAGTTTCGGTGATATTGTATCACCCTGTCTCACGCCTCTACTTATTTGTAATGATTTTGTTCCTTCATATACTTTAATTGTTGTTTTGGCTTCCTTATATATATATTGGTTATTAGTTCCGTATATCTGTGGTCAATTCGGCTGTTAATCAAAGAACTTTTCACTGCCCAATGTTCGACACTGTCGAAAGCCTTTTCGAAATCTATGAACGCCATATATAGAGGAATGTGGTATTCATTTGCTCGTTCTATAAGTATTTTCATACTTAGTAAATGGTCACTTGTGCTGAATCCCTTTCTAAAACCAGCTTGTTCTTTCGACTGGTATCCATCGAATTTTGTCGTCAATCTATTGGTTAAAATTTTTGTTAGGAGTTTATACATTACATTGAGGAGTGTTATAGGACGGTAGTTTTTTATATCTGCTTTATCCCCTTTCTTGTGTAGGATAATGGTTACTGATTCCTTCCAGTTGTTTGGGATTCTTTTTTCTTTTAATATCTTGTTAAAAAGGGAATGTAGAGTATTAATTACCACTTTTTCCACCATATTTCAGCATCTCTGCAGTTATTCCATCTTTTCCAGGCGATTTGTTGTTTTTCATTTCTTTCAATGCCTTCTTTATTTCTGATTTGCTTATTTCGGGCTGCAGCTCTGAGTTGACATTTTTTATTTGACCTTAAGTTGGTTTTTAATTTCTTCTGGTGGTTCCTTTTTTGTTTTATATAATTCTGAGTAGAAATGGTGGATTATATTTATGATGTCATCTTTAACGTTTGTTTCTATTCCATTTACATCTTTTATTTTGTTTATTTCAAACTTACCTAATTTCGGCCTTAAGCATTTCATATTTTTGTTGTTTTGTATTACTTCTTCTATTTTTATTTCTTGTTCTTTTCTCTTATTTTCTTTTATCATTCTGCTTATTGTTTTATTAATTTCTACATATTCTATAGATTTCCTTTTGCCTTCTTCGTTCAGCTTCCTTCTTTTATCCATAAGCTTCTTTGTTTCTGTTGATATATAGTTGTTCTTTTTTAGATCCTTCTTTGCTACTTCTTTTCCTGATATAATCATCGTTGCTGTAAGTATGTTGTCTATTTCGTCTATATCTTTATTTTCACTGTCTAATCTTTGGGTAAGTTGTTCTTTTAATAGGTCTTTGTATATCTCTTTATATTGCCCTAGTTTGTTTCTATCTACTAGATTCCAGTTTCTACTTATTTTTCTTTTTATCTCATAGTTACCGTCAATACTAATTTTTGCTCTGACCATCCTGTGATCGCTACCTGTTGTGAATCTGTTAAGAACTGTTACATCTTTAATGATATATCGTTCCGTGGACAGTATGAAGTCGATCTCATTTTTTGTGGATCCATTAGGGCTGATCCATATCCACTTTCGTTGGGGCTTCTGTTTGTAAAAGGAGTTCATTGCGTATAAATGCTTTTCTTCTAGGTAGTTCATCAAAGTATCACCTCTATCATTTCTCTGACCATACCCGAAATCTCCTATTTTAGTTTCTTCTTTGTTTAGTTTTTTACCCAGTTTGGCAATGAAATCTCCAATTACTAGTGTAAGATGATTTTTATGTTCTTCCATAGCCTTTGATATATCTTCATAAAATAGTTCGATATTTTCTTCATCATAAGCTGTCGTGGGGGCATATACCTGGATAATTTTAATTGCTGTTCTTCTTATTTTAAGTATGACATAGGCAACACGATCTGATATACCTTTGATAATTTGGACGTGCTTACTTATAGCTTTATTTATTATAAATCCTACTCCAAATTTACTATTCATTTCATTTCCTTTATAATATAGTAGATTACCAGATTTTAGCTGTATTCGGTTTTCTTTTTTTCTTCGAGTTTCTGATAGGCCTATGATATCCCATTTTGTTTGTTAATTCTTCTTCCAGTTCATGTACTTTTTTATCTGTGGATATTGATCTAATGTTGTATGTCCCTATTGACAGGTTGACGGGTTTTTTTGATTTATGTTGTGCTCGTCTTAGTGGGTTTTTGTTTTTATCAATCAAAAGCGAATTATTGCCTCCCCCAGATACCGTGAGGCAGACCTTTGAGGTGTGGGATTCAGAAATTTTCTTACCCACCTGGGGACCATTTCCTTTTGTTTTATTATTCGCCATGATAAAAGTGGGGGGGTGGGTGATAGACCTAACATATCTTAAACGAGACGACTATTAGTAACAACAGGCTTGAAAATACTTTGACAGATATCAGGGAAAAAGTCTTTTGATAGGAAGAGAAGCGAGAAGATCATGCAATATAGAAGATATAAATAGATGGGTGACAAAACGGAAACAGGAGTGAAAAAAACACATTAGTGGAATGGCAGAGGATAGTATATTACGAATAGCAAGAGATAAGTCACCAACTGGTTGAAGAAGTATTGGCAGATCAAGAAAAAGTAGGTGCGATAATTTAAACAATTTAGGAGGCTAATATTGAACAACAAACAGGCTTTAAAGCATAAATACAAGAAGAATGAAGTTGTTTCGTGTTCGAAAAATGTGTTTCGGATAAACGATGGTTGTATTTGCTTCTTTAAGACCGGAAAATATATTTTTTTTAATTATGAATTTCGAGACATATTAACAGAGGTTTTCTTCTTCAAGTTTTACTCCTATCGGAGATTGGAAATCATTCTGGCAATTATAATTTTATTGGTTACTCGCCTGAATAGTTCAATTGAACTGCATCCAAACCATTCACGGAGATTGCGTAGCCACGAGATTTTAGTCTTCTACGCTTCTTCTACCTTTGATTTTACCTGCATTATATTCCTTAGTAGTTCGTACTTTTCACCTCTCATGATGTGCCCCAAGTATTCCAATTTCCTGATTTTTATGGAATTTAAAACTTCGCATTGTTTTCCTAGTTGTTCGAGAACTTGTTCGTTTGTTTTGCGATCCATCCATGATATTTTCAAAATACGTCGGTAACACCACATTTCGAATGCTTTTAGGTTTTCAATGTTGGATTTTTTAAGTGTCCAAGCTTCAACGCCATACAAAAGGGTAGAGAAAATATAACATCAAAGCATTCTTATCCGGAGCGATATATTGATATCGCGATTACAAAAAAGTTTTCTCATTCTATTAAATGTTGACCGCGCAATTTCAATGTCTTCTGTGATCCATGCTCCAAGGTATTTGTTTGAAGATATTTGTTCAATTTCTGTATTATCTAGTACTAGCTTAACTTTGATGTTTTGTGCTTTTGTAAATACCATGAACTGGGTTTTCTTCTAATTGATTTTTAGTCCATAATCGTTGCTATATATTTAGTTGTTCAGCAAGGTGTTGCAGTTCTTCTAGTGTTCCTGCCAGAAGGACGGTGTCGTCAGCATATCTTATGTTATTAAGTGGCTCACCGTTTATTATAAGGCCCTCAGTGATCTCGGCAAGCAGCGCTAATTCTGAGATGGCTTCACTGTATAAATTGAATAACAAGGGTGATAAAATACACCCTTGGCGGACCCCACGGTGAATCTGGATATCCTTGGTCAGTTCGTTTTCAACTTTCACTTTTGCTGTTTGATTCCAATAGAGGTTACAGATGATTCTAATGTCTCTACAGTCTATGTTTTTATTTAATAAAATTTCTTTAAGTCGATTATGCTGCACTCTGTCAAATGCCTTCTCAAAATCAATAAAACAGGCATATACTTTCTGATTAATATCAAAGCATCTCTGCGAAAGAACACTTAATGCAAACAGTGCATCTCGTGTTCCCAGTCCTTTCCTAAATCCCATTTGTGTATTACTTATGCCTTCATCTAATTTCTTATGTATTCTATTGTGAATTACTTTTAAAAACAATTTCAAGACATGACTCATTAAGGCTATGGTGCGATGTTCATTGCACTCCTTTGCATTGGCTTTTTTGGGAAGCAGCATAACAGAGGTTATATCGATATAAAAAAATTATGATTAATCCAGCAAAAAATTAATGTTTTGTCAAAGTTTTCAATGTCCCAAAAAAGTAGATTACTTCAAATTATATTATACCTTTATTTTATTTGAAGTCCATAAAATAGGGAAAATCTGAAGAAACCCATAAAAAAAGTTTTCCGGTTTTTAAAGGTGGCCCACCTTAGGGAAAATTCTGGAACAAATTAGAACTGTAGTTTTTGATGAAATACATAAAATAAAAAAGGTTAGATCTGCACCTTAAAATTACGCTGAGTTTTATTTTTTAATCCCATAGAATGTAAGAAATTGAAAAATTGAATTAATAATTAAATTGGGAGTGAGGGTAATATTAAGAGAAGGTAATATTGAGACAATTTAAAATAATTAACTGTATTTAAAACATTTAATATACATATAATTTTTTTTAGCATTTGACAGAAACGAGCTTCTTATAGAGTTAACAGACACGAACAAAAGTATTAGTTATGCACAATATTCAACGTTCTCAGTTGGCTGCGAAAAAGATGGCTATCCACTAAAAGAACTTACAGGATACTCAGGCAATGCAGGGGACGGTTTTAAACGGACATGTTAATGCAAAGTTTACAACACTGGATGTGGATCAAGATAAACACGCTGATAATTGTGCTAAAATGTTTGGTAAGTGCGTTTTTTACTTGCTAGATACAAATATCGAAATTTATTAATAATTGTGGTAGGCTTTGCCATTTTCGATAATGACAAGTAGACTTTTTGAATACAGTAAATTAGTTGCACATCGGTAGCGTCTTTATTAACTTTATTTTCAAGTTCATGAGCTCATATTTCCAGTTTGTCCAAAATAGGTTTATTAAAATTACCCAATGGAAGCGTGCAATATTTCCCCTTCGTGTACTAAAGAAAGTTTTTTCAAGGTTCTTAGATAATGACAAAATTTACGGATCAGAAACCATTCTTTATCTAATATCTTGCAATGATCTAGATTTTCGATGTTATACAGGGTTAATTACTATTTAACTGGGAATGAGCCACAATTAAAGATAAAAATACGTTTATTGACGTTTCAATTTCCACTTCCGAAATCGTTCTCAAAATACAAACAGTAAATTTACTGTTTAAATTTTTGTAACGCCTTACGTTTTCAAGATACAGGGCGTTTAAGAAAAGAAAATTTTACACATTTTTTACGATTTTGCCGAAAGTACTGGCAAAATTGTAATGAAATTTTATACGAATATGTTTTGGAAGCTGATACATCCCATAAACTTGTTTTTATATCTGATTCTCATAGAGGGCGCTAGTTACACGGATCGTACTAAGTATTAGTCAATATAACTTTTTTAAGAGTATAATTATTAATCAAAATTTCAAGTAAAGTTAAACATCATTATATTTTTCAACTTTAAATTCAACCAAGGTACTCTTGGTAAAACTCGATACTGTGTACCGTTTTCGTATTATTTTGATTTAAAAATTATGAAGTAATAATTGTTTTTGTATCTATCTATTGTCGTCCAGGTTTTCCGTTGTGGCATGGTCCTAAATGCCTTGTTCTTCTCATCTGTTATTTTTTTGTAGTTTTGGTCGAACCAGTCGTTTTTTTCTTGGGTTCGGGATATTCCCAATATGGTTTCGGCTGCTAATTTCAGAGCCTCCTTGCAGTTGTTCCACTTTTCCGTGCTTGACTGGTCGACTGCCCAGGTGTCTTTTAGGGTTTCTGTTATATGCGACTGGAACTGTTTTTTTTTTGTTTTCATTTTATAGCATATGTAAATTATATTTTACTTGTCTAGTGTCCCTTTCTTTCTTGGCATTGGAAATTCTTTGTCGTAACTTGAGTCAATACTTGCGCCCCTGTATCTTCTCTTGACCATTAGGTTTGGAAAGTACCTTCTGTCAATTATAACATGGTCAATTTGATTTGTGTTGTGTCCATTTGGTGATATCCAAGTTGCTTAATGGATACTCTTATGATTAAAACAGGTACTTCCCACAATTAAATCTTTGGAAGCTGTAATACTAATAAGCTTTAAACTATTGTCATTAGTAACGTGAAGGCTGTGTTTACCAATATAATCTTGGTAGCATATCTCTTTTCCTATCTGGGTGTTCATGCCTTCAATAATTATTTTAATATTGTTTTGGCACACTTATCATATGCTTTTTCGAGGTCTTCGTAGAATAGATCTTTAATTTTTTCGTCTTTTTCCTTGAGATGGAGATTGAGTCGTGGAGATTGATCAGGTATATGTTGAAAAATTTTTCTTTTATTCGAAGGATGCATAGCCGATCATTTATGGCTTTAAAACCAATAATAAAATTTTTGATTTTTTTTGATACTAGGAACGCAGGTTCGAACTTATGTCGGTTCGGATTGCAGCTGTAATATATATCATATTCTTTTTTCTACATAATGTACCGACATTATGTACCGACATCCTGTCCATCTCATGTCTTAGTTCGGTGCGTGGGTCGTCGTATTAAATTTAGTCCGGCTTTTCTATCTTGGGATTTCGTAACAATAGGTTTTTATGGGATGAGGGAGGTAGCCTCATGCCCAACTCCCTTTTCGGAGGACCATTTTTCCCTTCTTCATCAGCCCTGACCCCACCTTCCACTGGAGTTAGTTACCGAGTCTCCAGTAGGGTTTCTTAGGTTTACCGGGATTCTCCCGTATGATCCGGATTACCCTTCTCGGAGGTGAGGCTAGAGGTGTTATCTGGAAGCAACACCTTATGTTGCCCATCACTACTTCCTTGAAACCCCGTTTAATAGACTGGGCGACTTAGAATATTTTTGACTATTCCAAAACTAAAATACATTCATTTCTAACTAATATTAAGTAGATACAAAAAAACACAAATAACAAAATGATTAAGATGTGCAGACAACAGATGAAAAAGGTGATATAGAGCAGAGTAGTAAAGAAAATATCTCAATTGAAATAGTGTGAAATGTACATGTACTATGATTATATTTTTCCCTCTTTTATCTTATACAGCTAATACTTTTTTATGTTGTAGAGGGTGCTTGGTGGTATACAGCTTGCCATACCAGCAATCTTAATGGAAAATATATGACAATAGAACTTCCCACTGCATATTTAGCACATGGTCTTAATTGGTATCCTTTAAAATCAGCACATGTAAATTTGGCTGGTTCAAGAATGATGATAAGACCAATTGGAGAATAAATAATTATTAATGAAAGAATATGTACGTAATCAAATGTGCCTCTTTATGTAATATTGATTTAATATAGTTTTTATGCATGTTCAGTAGTTATTTATTTTACATGACACCAAATAGTCCAAGCTGTAGAGAAGAAACGTGCGTTAATTAGTGAATTTTTTAAAACAGCACAGCGTTATAAAGAGCAATGCCTGGAGTAACCTCCAGGTGTTTAAATGTTGCAACTCCTAACTGTTAGTTATTATTTTTTGCTTGTTCTTGTATTATGCTTACTCCTAACATCAATATTGTATTTTTTGAATTCTTTGAGAAGTAACTCCGTGAATAAAAATAAAAGCTTTAATACAGACAGCTACGTCTCAAAAACTGTCATTAATTTTTACTCTAATCCTGTACATATATGTGCTCTGGTTAATCTTTGCCTCCTCGTGTGGTTTCCTGCTCCTACATTGTTGTTGTTGTTTGTTTGTGTTTAAATGACTGCGGACACTAAATCCATTTGCCAATCTTACAATTTGAGGTGTAGTGTGTGTGTGTGTGTAGAGTAATTGTCTTGATACTTAGCAAAGTCGACGTCATTGTCTTTGCTAAGAGACGCTAATTGTATCCGAACGTCTGCTGTCCCTCCGGTGTGTACCGATCACACAAGGATAGAAATTATTTTCATTTATTAATTTTTTTAATAAACGAAAATTTCCACCCAGGTGGGATTCGAACTCACGACCTTTAGGTTTAAAGGCAGGCGCTCTTACCACTGAGCCACAGAGGGGGTTAATCCAGTTCATTAAACTGTCTTATTATTTTTAGTCTATTATCTAATAAAATATTTTCAAAGGATTTTAATCTGTGGTACTTGCAGCCTTTACCTTTAGTATGACTTTTTAGCCTAATTATTCATGACATCTATTACACGGCAATAACTTTTTCTCTTCTTTGTTGTTTTTGAAAATGCAACTTCGCCACCTCCATTAGAACTTTGATCACATTTAAACTCGTTATCCATTATAACTCAACAATAAACTTGACTTAATAACACTTTTTAAACTGAAACAACTCTTCAAAATACCGAACGTGTCTTAACAAGGTCAGAGACCCTACTAATAATAATTGCTACCTGACTGTGCTGCGTCCACCACCATATTCTTAGGAACCTGATCGTTCTTTCATCTGCGCGCTGTGACTTAAATCATTCTTCCCACTTATGCCGTATCTTTCTTTCTCTATTACAAGTACATCTCGTAATTCTCTAGTACATCGAACTGAGAGCATTTATGTTATAGTACATCCCAGAGGTACTTTTCAGTGCGTCACAGTTTTTCGATTTCTTTCTAATGCATTAAGTTGGATGTGACGGACAAAGCGGTAGTTCGGTGATTAAACAGAACTATATTGCAGCGTTAGAATAAGCTTACATACATAAGAGGTTCTTTCCTAACCTACGTTTGATTCGTTGATATTTAGATGCGCGCTTTCTCTAGCCAATCAAATACGCCTATTACTGACCGTTAACGTAAAATTTCGTCCATGCTGGCCATTCTTTCGAAGCGTTCCAACAAAAGTGACGGTTGTCGTTCAGGTCAGTATTTGCAAAGAATATAGACGCTATATAATATATTTATATTCTTTGGTATGTGTTTTGTATAATTTTATTTTGTATTTTATTTTACATAGTATTGTGATTGTGGTTTTATTTGTATTTGTACAAGATGGCAAGTAATACGGAAAAAGAACAAGTTCTAATACTAAAATTGCTTAAATATTTTCAATTGGAAAAGGAAGCTGGACAAACATTATTACCAATCTCTGCTGTTCCTGAAGTAAGTTAAAAATTACGAGGAAAATAAAATTGTTTTATTTACTGTTTATTTCAGGTTCAATGGTATCATAATTGGGTAACATAGTTGTCATACCATTTCACACAAAAAATTTCATTAGTTTTGTCAAATCTATAATCATATACATTTTTCTTCATTAGCTTACTCTTTATTAGCTTTCTCCATTACTGGACATTTTACAGTTCCTGTGGCCTTTACATTTTTTTGTTTCAGATATATCATTAGTTGATATGTCATGAAATGTTTATCGAAAAAATTTCATTTGTTGATGGTTCAGGCAACTGTTTCAAAATATCAATTACTATTTTACCTTCAAGTGGTCTATTTTAATAGTACCATTTGTTTTTTTTTTGGCAACAAACGTGTAAACTATAATCATATCCAGTGGAACCAGTTATTATCCAATTCTTATATTCACATCTGACTGGCTTCTCTCTAATTAACTGTTTAGCTAAGTTATGACCAAAATATTTGACCATGTAGTTGTTTAAGGAAATATCTCTATGGAAACATCCCCACTGGCAGTATTTTTCTATAATTTTATCTGCTAAAAGGCTAATTTATGTCCATACAAACGTACAAAATAGAATTTTATTTTATTTATGTAATTAATTTATAAGTCATGAATTTGTTGCTTGTGTGAGTCCATTTTAAATAGGTAAAGAAATAATAAATAAGACTTACTCACAATCAATTTGATTGTGAGTAAGTCTTATTTATTATTTCTTTACCTATTTAATTTATAAGTCTTTTTTGTGTAAGTTATACTATGGCCAAAAAGCAGTAGTAAGAATAGAAGATATAACATCAGAAGAAATAGAAGTACAAAGAGTTGTTCGACAAGGGTGTATACATAAACCAGTATTATTTAATATGTATACTCGGAAGACATATTAAGTAAGGCAATGGATTAACGAAACGTAGACATTAGAATTAATGACAACTATATGATAATAACAAAGACAACTCAGGACATTCGTGAGATATATGTACAGAATCAGCCTATTGAAATAGTAAGAGAATAATACAACTATTAATGAAAACCATGACAACTCTCAAGAAATACGAATCAGACTCAAACAGGCCAGAAGCGCATTTACAAGAATACAGAGGCTTCTCTGCTGTAGAAACTTAAACCTTAATTAAAAATACGACTGCTGAGGTGCTACGTGCTATCCGTAATATAATACGGGATGGAAGCGTGGTCACTGAAGAAAATTCACGTGAGGAGACTGAAGGCATTCGAGATGTGGATGTACCGAAGAGTACTAGAGATCTCATGGGTAGATGGAATAACCAGCGTTGAGGTAATGTGACGTATGCATAAGGAAAGAGAATTACTAACAATTAAGAGGAGAAAAGTGGGATATATGGGTCATGTGATAAGGAGATAAATATCTAACATTTCCTTATGCAAGGAAAAATTAGGAGAAAAAGATCCATAGGAAGGAGACGTAACTCATGTAATAACGACTTATTTAGAGCCGCTGTCTCAAAATTAAAAATCGCTGTGATGATTGCCAACTTTCGACGCGCAGACAGCCCCTTGAGAAGAAGATACAAAAATTCAATTAATAAATCATTTTGTCGTCAATTTCAAATTTTTCCATATTTATAAATTGAATAAACAATATTGTTTACTTTTTATTTTTATTAATATACGGGATTACCCCCTGTGGCTAAGTACGATCCTGGCATCTGTCAGATTCTTCAATAATTTTATGAAATAATTCTCGACACACCTAATTTATTCTATGACGTCATAATTAATGACGCACTGAAAAATACCTCTGGGATGTACTTTATTAGTGTTTTTCGTGGTTGAAAGAGATAGCATTCAACCATAATAATAGCACCAAAAACCGAAATTCGATTTTTTAGATTAAAACCGTTTTTCCCCTAATCCTTCATATCTGTCTGTTAAACATTCGATCGTATCTTTGAAGTTGTAAGTGAAAGTACTAGGAATGGATTAAAATAAGATAAATGCTTGAAAAGTATTGGGAATATAATCACGACGAGCATCAGATTTTTATAGACTTCAAACAGGCTTATAATTCAATTAATCCTGCAACATTATGGAAGGCAATGATCGAGCTCGGCGTACCCAAGAAACTAGCTGCAATAACACAAAGGTATGTAAGTAACTCTTTTGCACAAGTTAGAATGGAGAAAAAATATCAAATGCTTTCTGCGTAAATTATGGACTGAGACAGGGAGATCCGTTGTCCCCATTGTTGTTTAGCCTGGCCTTAGAATATGTCATGCGAAAAATATATCCAAAAATCAAACCAGACATAACTGCTCGGGGAGCAAAAATCATTCTCGCCTTTGCCGATGACGTAGACGCAGTAGCACAATCAACATTAGAAATTAAGGATATTTTCTCAAGCTTTGAAGAAGCTGCATTAAACTCGGTCTAAAGCCAGAACGACAGCGAATAAGGTAAAATATTACTATAAATGATCACAACTTCGAAGTGGTTAAAGAATTTAAATATCTAAGAGCAACAATCACAAATGACAACAAATCAGAGCGAGAAGTTAAAACGAGAATAATGGCAGAAAACAGATCTTGCTTTGCAATGCAACATCTAATAAAGTCAAAACTTCTTTTACGAGGTGCAACAAGGAAGAGAATCGTTTAAAGCACTGGATCATAAAATGCCAAGATTAAGGTTTTCCAGTTAGTGTGGAAAAAATAAAGACTCGGTTAAAGGTTTTCTTGACGCAAATCCACGTGCCAATCCTTTTACTGACAATCCTCCCGGAAGAGGTTGGTATAGATCCTTTTTAAAGCGACACCCAGATTTAAGTGAGAGATCTCCAGAAGTGGTAACGGCAGCAAGTTCAGTTGTGTCTGAAAAATATTTTAACCCTTTATAGGGCAGAATTATTTTTTGGTAATATAAACAAATTCTTTGCAGATTATAGATAAGGAATGATCCGTTATTGAACTTTCATTCGTATTTTCATTTTATTTTTCACTCCTTGTTGTTTTTTTAGGTGGTTGAAATTTCGACCACAGCCTGATTAGGTATGCTGACTTTGGTAAATGTAGTTGTGGTTCCATAATCGACCACAGAAAAAAACACATTAATTAAACATGTGTTTAACATGCTCTCGTTAAACAGAGTGCACAATGTCTTGACGTTCCTTTTTCTGGCATGTGATTGCCAACATCGCTTAGTCTCACCTTGCTTTCAACGCTAACAGAG